ATATATATATATATATACATTAATTTTACAGCCCACACTTCTTTAAAGATATAAAAATTTCTGCGTTGGCATTATTAAAAATGGTTATGCATGCTCGTTCTGGTGGCACTTTGGAAGTGATGGGTCTTCTTCTTGGAAAAGTAGCAGCAAATACAATGATTGTTATGGATTCTTTTGCATTACCTGTGGAAGGAACAGAAACAAGAGTTAATGCTCAAGCCCAAGCTTATGAATATATGTCCGCTTATGTAGAAGCTGCTAAGCAGGTGATTTTGATATTTCAGAAAATATTGAAAGTATTATTTTAAAAGAATATCAAATTTGAGAATCCATTCCTTTTGTATACAATATCTGTGCAACATTCGAGGTTCATTGAATCGAATGGTTTTAAAGTTCTATCCGATTTTTATTCTGGCTGTATGGTAAAATTAATGTTTATAATTTGTATCTGCAAGTTATGTTTATATTTTGCTGTTGAAAGGTTGGAAGACAAGAGAATGCAATTGGATGGTATCATAGTCATCCTGGATATGGTTGTTGGTTATCAGGTATCGATGTATCTACTCAGATGCTCAATCAAAATTTTCAAGAACCTTTTGTTGCTATTGTTATCGATCCTGTGAGGACAATATCTGCTGGAAAAGTTTGTTTGGGTGCATTTCGAACTTATCCAAAGGTAATATATTTGATATAGACGAATAAAAAAATCTTGTGAAAAGCAATAAGAAATTTAATGAACTATCTGATTCTTTTATAGGGATATAAGCCAGCAAATGAAGAACCATCGGAATACCAAACAATTCCATTAAACAAAATCGAAGATTTTGGAGTTCATTGCAAACAATATTATTCATTAGAAGTGTCTTACTTTAAATCATCATTAGATAGGCGATTATTAGATTCTTTGTGGAATAAATATTGGGTGAACACATTAAGTTCTTCCAGCCTTTTAACAAATGCGGACTACACAACGGGACAAATATTTGATTTATCGGACAAATTAGAACAGTCAGAAGTTGCACTTGGAAGAGGATTTATTTTAGGTGGAACGGATCCCCATGATCGATGTTCGGTAGAAAAACTAATTAAAGCAACAAGAGACAGTTGTAAGACAACAATTGAAATTATCCATGGTTTAATGGCACAAGTAATTAAAGACAGGTTATTCAATCAAGTTGGTTGTAAGAATACTGCTGATGTTCAACAGCAACAA